TTTTTGTTTTTAAAAAAAAAAAAAAAAAAAAAAAAAAAAAAAGCACTCAAGCTCCCTGAGCCTCAGTTACTTCATCTCTGAAATGGAAATGATAACAGTACTGACCTCAAAGGGTTATTGTATAGCTTGAGATACTATTTTTTGTTTTGTTTAAAAGACTTTATTATTATTATTATTTAATTTTATTTTTGTTTAAAATATTACAGATGTCCCTTTTTCTCCCTAATGACGCATTCCACCCCATCCCTTCCCCCTCCCCAGTCCCTCTCCCCACCATTGTCCGTGTCCTTGGGCTGTGCATATATGCATATAAATTCTTTGGTTACTCTCTCCCCCTCCGCCCACCCGCCCTTCTCCATCCCCGAGATTCGTCATAAAAGACTATTTTTTAGAGCAGTTTTAGGTTCACAGCAAAGTTGAGCAGAAAGTAATGAAGATTTCCTTATACCTGCCACCCCTCCCCCCACTCATGCACAGCCTCCCCCATTACCAATATACCCCATGGAGTGGTGCATTTGTTATAATTGATGAACCTACATTGACCCATCATTGTCACCCAAAGTCCATAGTTGGCATTAAGGGTCACTCTTGACATTGTACATTCTATGGGTTTTGACAAATGCACAGTGACATGTATCCACCACTATGGTATCATACAGAGTAGTTTCTCTGCCCTCAAAATCCTCTGGTTTTGAAGTGCTTGGCAAAATGCCTAGGATGTCAGAAGCAGACCATAAATGCCAGCCTCCCCTCGCCTCTCCTGTTCTTCAGATGGGACTTGTCTGCCCTCTGGTGGTAGGTGCCATGATTTCAGTGACTTCACGCGAGTTTCTCAGGAACACTGCACGCGGCCAGCAGCAGACCAGGCAGCCACTCCTAGCCCAGAGTTCCAAGCAGGAAGGATCATCTAATCCAAGGAAAATTAGAGCAGAAGGGACCCTGCCCTGGGAGGCAGGCCATCTGGCCCTCCTCCTTGACCCGCTCTGCCTGCTGGGTGACCTTGAACAAGACACTTTGCCTCTCTGGGCTGAGTTGCTGGAACATATGGTTGGTTGAAGGCAGGGGACGCGTATGTGGGCTGGGGCTCTTTTTGGCTCCAGGGTCCCATGGAAGCAGCATCGGAAGCAGAAACTAGGGCTCAGTCCGGAGGCACACGGACCCTGCCGCCCCTGGTGGCAGGCAGCCACCTGGTTCCCCCTCGGCGTCTCACGCGCTGTGTTTGCTTCCTTTGCAGCAGCTGCAGGTGGTGCCCCTTTTCGGCGACATGCAGATAGAGCTGGCCAGATACATTAAGACCAGTGCTCACTATGAAGAGAACAAGTCCAAGTGAGTGCCTGCCGTAATGTCTCTCGGCTCCCGCGAGGCCGCCCAGCCCGGGCAGGGGGCCGAGGGGCCACTTCAGCCCCTCCTCCCTCCCCAGAGCCCTGGGCAGGTGGACTCCAGAGGGGAGCAGCGGAGGGTGCTCCGAGTCCTTTTGTATCCGCCCTTTGCTGCTGGGGTTCAAAAGTGCTCAGAGCACAGCCATGCCCCTTCTCTGTCCCAGCCGCAGTGGGACAGCAGGAGTCCTCCTTCCTGGCCCTCGGTGGTCAGGTGGAGCAAGATGACGTCATCTTTTATCACCCTGATTCTGTCTTCAGGTTTTGTGTCCATACAGTAAGTATACATGGTGTGTATGGTTTGAGCTGTTCCAACCGTGAAGTGGTTGAGCGGCTCACCCCTGGGGCCTTTTATAAACCACCATCCTAGGGAATCTGTGCTGACACCCGGGTCTGGGCCGTCAGTGCCTCCTGGGAGTAGGGCCCACCCAGCGACAGCCTGTATCTCTGGGGTGGTTAGGAGGTTTCTTCTGCCTGCGTCTCAACTCGCCGGCTGCTAGTGTAGGGGGAGGATTTCTAGGAAAAGCACGGAGTCAAGAATGCTGAACTCATGTCCTCACATTATCTGCATGAATCCTCTACTACCTGGAGTTGGTTGGTTGGGAACGGCAATGTGGCCAGGGTGGGATGTCCGTGGTCTGAGTGATCGTGTCCCCATGCCTACACTGGTGACCTTTGGGAAAAACTAAAGCCAAAGTACAAACATGAGGAAGTGTATCACCACCCTGAGTATTCTGAGGGCCACTTCAGGGCTCCTTTTGAAATATTAAATTCTTGCCAGGACGTTGCTCTGCCTTAGGTGGCTTTTAACTTGTCTACTGGGTCACCCAACACTAGATGGCCAAAGAGGGTGGGGGGGGCTGTCTTTTTTCTCTTGGGAAAGGAGAGTAAAGACTTTTATTCATTCATTTTCTCTCCAATTTAGGATGGGTTTCCCAATGATATGTTTCAAAATCAAGAGTTGAGGAGAAATAGGAGGGGGAAGAAGAGGGGTGAGGAGAGAGAGAGAGAATGACCATGGCGCCCCTCACCATGGAGTGTTTGCTTGCATGCTACCAGTTCACTGTTGAAAGAGCACAGTCCCTTCAGGTTTCCTTAGTCCCTCCCCAAAGGACCCTTCAAAGCCAGTGTCAGCCACAGGATGTCAGAGTCAGGAGACAGGTTTGGGAGGTCACCCATCTTGCTTTTCCTTGGCGTGGATTCCAGCCCTTTGTAGCCCTAGAGAGGCTGCAGTTCCCTTCTCACCTGTATAACTGGTAAGTACGTGGACACGAGGTATCTGGAAAAGCCTACAACTGGGTCTTAGAAGAGTAGGAAGGGCTGGTCCACTCGTGTGGGATGAACAGGCTGTCTTGCTCGTGTCTGGGTTACCTCTTGGTTCTGCCCAGGGGGGCCAGCCACCTTGGCTGGGCACCAGGAGCAACATGTGAGTGGAAGGAGCCTGTCCCACCAGGCGCCTGAGTCCAGGACCTGCCCCGACCCTGTGCTTTTCTGCCCAGGTGGACTTGCACCCAGAGCAGCATCAGCCCCCAGTACAACATCTGCGAGCAGATGGTTCAGATCCGAGATGACCATATCCGCTTCATCTCCGAACTCGCTCGCTACAGCAACAGTGAGGTGAGCTTGCTCTGGCTGGGGAATGGAGGCCCATGTGGGCCCGGGTGAGAAGGGGTGAAGACCAGGTAGGAAAGAAATGACTGCAGAGATCATGGAAAGCAGAAGTGAGGGAATACACATCGGAGGCGGGAAGGCAGGCTGGCCACGAGCATGGGTTTTAGAGCCGCACAACTGGATTTGATTCTGGTTCTGCTGCTGACCATCACAGGTTATTCAGCATCTCTGTGCCTCAGTTTCCTCCTCTGCAGAATGAGGGTAATAGTAGCCAGAAAGGTTCATTGAGAGAATTAAACTGTGATGCATGGAAAACGCATTGGGCCTAACAGAGAGTAATTGGTAATTGTTAGTAATTGTTAGTCTGTAAATGTTCCAGACCATCTCCGCCCTAAATAGCAAGAGAAACAGAGTTCTGAACATGCATGCTCATAATACCGTCTAAATATTTTAAAACTACACAGTGATGAATGATCGTTAAACGAACCAGAAAATACAATTAGGGACAAAATAAATGTTCAAACCACAGAAAAAATAGAGATGTACAAAAGGAGGGAAAATCAATCACATAAAATCCTACCACCCAGAACCAACTATGATTAATGTTTGGGTGTATATATCCTTCTGGGTCTCGTCCCACATAAACCCTTCCGATAAGTGTATATGTTGGTTTAGTAGCACAGGCCCCCTGAGTCGAGTTCCTTTATTACCTGGAGCTCCTGGATGGATGACTGCCCCGTCCCACGTTTGCTCACTGGTTCTACCATGTGGCCGCAACCACAGGGCGCATGCTTTCCAAACCCAAACCCAATTTCAGAAATGTCTTCTATCAAAGAGGCAACGTGTTTGGAATGAGGACAGCCAGACAGATGCAGGCGGTGTGGTATTTAGGCCAGTGGACACGGACCAGGGTCATGCACAAACCTCTGACTTTCTTAACCATCTGGGCCAGTCAACTGAGCTAAAGCTATGGGGCTAATTTAAGTGCAGGGGTTTTCTTTATTCCTTGTCAAGTTTTGGTGTGGTCTGAGAATGAGCCGGGCTCAGAGTTATTTTTGAGATCATATGCTTTATACATGTGTATATGCGGACAGTTATTATTCGCAGTAGTTACGTCCTATAAAGTGGGTGGCCGTGAGCCCTGAATTAACGAAACGGAACCATTGCTTCCGGGGGAAACTCAGGGCCAGGTTCCTCTGAGTCTCTGGTCACAACATTTTCATCGTACTTGTTTTCTGTGCCTTTTCTGTTTAAAGACACCTTAGGTAGTCGTTATTGTTGACTCATGAACATTAACTCACAGGCAACAGCACTATCATTCGTGCCTGAAGAAAGCAAGTCCAAAACATGTTTCCTCCGAAAGGCACTTCTTAGCCTTCGGGACAGAACTTCAGCACCAGGCTCAGGGCCATTATAAATAGTGAAATCACCAGTAATGAAAAGTACAAAAATGTGAGAAATGTGGCACAAAATAAACCGCAGAAAGGGCACTTGTGTAGCGTGCGGAAGCTGAAACCAGAAGGCAGAGCCTCGCCTTGTTCAGCCTCAGCTGGGGACATGACCCAAATTTTTTGTCACTCAGCGTGTGTCTGTGCATGGCCACGAAGGGGCTGCGGGTATTGATTTTGAGGTTACAAGTAAATGTTAGTAAGTAGGCGAATTCACAAATACAGAATCCACAAATAACGAGGATGGCTCTGAATGTATATGTGTGCACATGCATACATATGTACACACACACGTTATGTCTTTGCACATGCATAGCTACATGTTACATCTCACTGTGGAATATTACACATGCAAATAGGTGTGTCTTCACTAGTGTCTAATTAATGAGTTGTGAAATCCGTTTAGTGTTATGTGATGAGTATTTTTGTGGGAAATAGAATAGAAATCAGAGGAAATCCCATGTATTAAGAGTAAAGTTGCTTTGTGACGAATGCTTCATGTATATATTTAATATCTCTAGATAGGTATGCATCCCTGAGTCTATAGTATGCATTTCCCCCTGTAAACTGCAGTCAGAAAAGCCTGAAAGCCACCGTGATGAGATACACCAGGGTGGTTGTGTGTGGGGGTGCTGGCATCACTCACCTGAGTGTGAACCCTCGGCCATGCACAAGCCATGCGGCCTTCAGCAAGGCCCTGTCTGAGCCTCAGTTTATCTGTCAAGGGGATATCCTAGCAGCACCTCCTTGTAGCGTTCTTCGGGGAATCAATGAAGTAATGTATCGAGGTGCCAGGCATGTGGATGTTGAGGGTGACGGCTGCTGCTCCCCAGGTGGTGACGGGCTCCGGGCTGGACAGCCAGAAGTCGGACGAGGAATACCGCGAGCTCTTCGACCTGGCCTTGCGGGGCCTGCAGCTTTTGTCCAAGTGGAGTGCCCACGTCATGGAGGTGGTAGGTGTCTCAGAGCGGAGGCTGCCCCTCAGACCCACCTCTGTTCACGTGGAACCTTTCTGCCCCTGCCTCTCCCCAAGCACTCTTTTCAGAGCAGCTTTACTAAAACATAATTCACATGCCATGGCATTCACCCATTTAAAATGTGATTCACCGGTTTTCAGTATATTTACAGAGCTGTGCAACCAACCACACATTTAGAACACTTCATCACCTCAAAAATACAATCACACACACACATAACCCACTCCCTGTCTCCCCAGCCCTACACAGGCTACTTTCTGTCTCCATCAATTTTCCAATTCTGGATGTTTTCTACAAGTACAGTCCAATAATATGTGGTCTTTTGTGGCTGGCTTCTTTTACTTTGTATGTTTTCAAGAGCCATCCATGCCGTGGGGCAATTCAGTGTTTCATTCCCTTCTCTGGCTGAGTAGTCTCCCGGGGCACGGTCACGCCTTGTTTTGTCTGCCCGTTGCCCCGCTGATGGACATGTGGGCTCTTCCCATCCCCCCAGTACTCCTGGAAGCTGGTGCACCCCACGGACAAGTTCTGTAACAAGGACTGCCCCGGCACGGCGGAGGAGTACGAGCGAGCCACGCGCTACAACTACACCAGCGAGGAGAAATTTGCCTTCGTGGAGGTGGGTGCTGACCCCCCGGTGTCCCCCCCAGTCCCCAGGCTGCTGCTCAGGGTCGGTCAAAGTGGGGGGCAGTGGTTCCGAGCCAGACAGCAGCCTCGGTCCCCTATTGTGCGTGTACTTCCCTGTCCCCCCTCCTGCCCCCCAAACTCACCTTTGTCACATTTCTCACAAACGATTAGAAACTCAGCCTGTTCTTAAAAATCCAAAGGGATGTGTTCACTCCACTACAAAAATGGGCAAAAGGAAACAAACCAGCAAAAAATGGCTGAAAGGGCTCAGAAAAATGCCCAAACTGATGAGTGTACAGATTGAAACTAAGATGAGATAGAGCGTTGGTGACCGGTCAGGTGGTAAAGAGCTGGAAGGTTGGTGATGCCCATTGCTGGGCGAAGTGTGGGAAATAGGCCTTCTCAGGGGCTTGGGTGGCCCGTTCACGTTTTACAGCCTTTCTACAAGAGCAGTCTACTCAGATGTACTCAGATGTATACTGCGCGTACCCCTTGGCCCCGAAGGCCTTCTGGGAACATACCCCAGGGAAATAAGCCAACTGCACAAAGTCGTATGCACACAGGTGTTTAACGCAGTATTGTTTATAATACCAAAATATGTGAAACGACTGAAATGTCCTTCAGGGTGGGACCAGGTCACATAAACGGAGGTACAGCTATGTCATCGAATACTGTCCAGCCACTAACATGGATGTGCTGACATGGAAAGATGTGCACAGTGTATTGTTAAGTTAAAAAAAAAGGTTAGAGAACATGTAAAAAATCATGCCATTTATGGTAAAATTAATGTACTTTTGCATGTTTACTCAAAACTGAAGGACATAAGTATTTACATTTATTCCTACCAAACCATTAATAGTGGTAGTTTCTGGAAGGGAGACACTGCTTTCCTGGTTTATAACATTCTAATTTGTTTTTTGGTTTGTTTCATTGCAAGAAGATATTTCTGTTTTGGGGGGGGACTCATTCATACTGAGTTTTGACTTTGCCCTTTCGTTTTCATAGGGATGCCTTTTGAAGAGTAACTTTTTAATTTTGACAAAGTCCAACTTATCAATTATTTTGTGGTTTCAGACTTTTGTGTTCTACCTAAGAAATCTCCGCCTGGAGCAAAGTTGCAGAGGTTTTCCTGCAGGTCTCACAGATCAGTCCGCTGTGTTTGGAGTTATTCTGAGGGATCTTTATTGTCTGTTTCTTCCTTTGTTCCCTCATGTCCTCTTTGCATCTCTAGCCAGGAGCCCAGCTTCTTTTATAACGTGTCGTTTCTTTTCTTTAGGCTTCTGTCCCACTACAACATTTCTCTCACTAAAGCTTCTCTGCAGCAAAACCATTACACTTGTGATTCCAATGAAAGTCGTCGCTCGCCTCCTGAGCTCTCTTCTCGCCATTTCCCCAACCTCCAATGTTCTTTTCCCTGTAAGGTTTGAGGAAGGACATGGTGTATTACCTAAGCTCATTCCTTAATTGTTTCATTCCATTTCAACAAAAAATTTCTCCACGCCTCACCTGGCGCCCTCCCGACGATGCGGAGAAGGGTCCTGGACGGACAGGCGTGCCAAGGTGAGCCCGACCTTGATCTGTGCCCACCAGGTGATCGCCATGATCAAAGGCCTGCAGGTGCTCATGGGCAGGATGGAGAGCGTCTTCAACCAGGCCATCAGGAACACCATCTACGCCGCCCTGCAGGACTTCGCCCAGGTGACCCTGCGCGAGCCCCTGAGGCAGGCCGTGCGGAAGAAGAAGAACGTCCTCATCAGGTGGGCCTTCGGGTGGCCCTTTTCAGGGGCACCTGGAAAATCGGGTGCAAGGTGCAGAACACAGAGGAAGGTCCCTGCAGGGCAGCCTCTGAACACACAGCCCCTCCAGCAGGCCTCAGGACGCCTTCTCAGGAGACTGGACATTAGAGGAATTGGTCCTCGGTCTTTGGGTTGGAAGCCCTTATCCACCGCTATCCAGTTATGTGAACTCGGTCACGTTACTTCCCTTCTCTGAGCCTCACTTTCCCTCATCTGTAAAATGGGGGTCATAGTGGTTCCTACCTCGTAGGCCCTTGGGTTGATGAAATGAGATAATCCAGTGTAGACCTAAGCACACAGCCACGTGGAGTTAAGTGTGCAACAAGTATAAGCTATCAAAACTTGAAATACACAGTTTTAATAAACTTCAAAAAACTTTAAATGGACGGAGACTCTCCTAGAACCAAAAACAGAAAGAGCTGTCCTGCCTCGCTCAAGAGCTCTGCCACTGCACAGGCTTGGAGCTGAGGTCTCAGCTAGCCAGTGGGCCTTGGGATCACCTGGGGCACCTATAGAATGCAGACTCGCGGCTGCACCTCAGGTCTGGTAAACCAGCATCTCTGGGGTCGGGGGGCAGGATGAGCGCCGTCTACAAGCACCCCAGGAATTCTAGGAAAGGGGTCCTGGGACACCACAGACTCTAGAAACAGGCTTGCAGTGTTTATCTCCTTCTAATGGTAAAACCCGATCTGAGCCTGGTTCTTCCTTCCCAGTGTCCTGCAGGCAATTCGGAAAACCATCTGTGACTGGGAGGGGGGCCGAGAGCCCCCCAATGACCCATGCTTGAGAGGGGAGAAGGATCCCAAAGGTGGCTTTGACATCAAGGTGCCCCGACGTGCCGTGGGGCCCTCCAGCACGCAGGTAAGCGGCTCCGGGCACAGGCCAGCTCTGCTCACTCAGGCCAGCCAGGCCATGGTAGGTCATTCTGGGTGGGCCATGGGGCTCTGGGGCTGGGGGTCCTCAGGCAGGAGGGGGAGGGTCAAGCAGCTGCTCTAGTCTTATTCTACTATCTTGTTTTGATGTAGGAGGGAGGACCACTGGCTTAAGATTCAGGAGACCTGGATTCTCGTCCTAGATACCTGTGTGACCTTGGGCACGTTATGTAATCTCTTTGTGCCTCAGTTGTCTAATCTGTTAAATGGGGGTAATACCAGGACTGGTTCCAAAATGTAGGAGGAGTTTAAAGTAGAATTTATATGCATCTGTCCTGTCCCTCTTTAACGAACCCTGCCCCTTCCCCTGCAGTGCCATCCTAGCTTGGGAATTCACAAGTTCTGCTTCTGACTTGCTGTGTGATCTCGGGAAAGTGCCTTGACCTCTCTGAGCTCTGATTATCTTCTCTGTTAAATGAAAACTTTGGATGAAATCGTGTTACTGATCAAATTCCCCTTTTTATTCCTCCATGCCCTCCAAATACAAGTATTGAAAGCCTTGACCCCTTAGAGAACATTTAGTAATCAGAGATATTTAAAGTTTCCAACTGGAGCTGTTCCAACAACAACAGGTAGCCTGTGGCTTATCCAAAGCAGTTGTAAAATTACAGGGGATAAAATAAAGAACCTGGTCATTTTAGTTAAGTCTTTGTGACCTACTTAAATGGTAAACAGTTTCTGGTAAGCTTTTTGAGGTCTTGGGAAAAAGCTTACGGCTCCACTGAAGCTTTTAAAGGTCTTACAGGCCCCAGAACCCCAGGCTGGGAACTCCCCCTTCACATGACCTTTAAGCCTCTCTCGGATCTGAAATCCTGAGTCCTTGAATCACCTGAGATGAGCATCTGAGGCCCACCCCTGACCCTCCTCACTGTGTCTGTGTCTGTGTCTGGGCAGGGGTGGGGGAGGAGGGACAGGGGTGAGATGTGTTCTCAGTGCTGTTCTCGTTAACTTCCCCTGGCTTCACCAAACGTGGGCCAGTTTGCACTCATCTTACCTGCTGGTTTGGGACCGTCCCAAGGAAGCTTCTCCAAACTGTTCTGTGTAATGTTAGGGGCCAGAGACCTTTCTAGCCCAGAATGCACCAGAGGGGCTGAGCAGGGCTTTAGGTGTTTCTTTGAGCTGTAAGACATGAGTGAGGGACAGACGGACAAAGCAAAGGAAAAACTGGAATGGAGGAGGGCGAGAGAGGGGGGTCAGCAGGCAGAGAGAGAGGAGGACTACTTATATAGACAAGTGAAAGGTGAATGTCACCAGCAGTCAGCCCCCTCAGCACCCCAGAGTCGTGTTAGGTGGCACAGATGCATTTAATAGGCTCCTAGACAGTCAGAGCTGGAAGAACCCTTAGAGACAAACTAGTCCTAGTCCCCTCCCCCTATTTTACAGATGGGGAAACTGAGGTCCAGGGAGGGGAAGTGACTTGTCCAAGCCACAAGGTGAGTCACAGGTTGAGGTGGGACAAGAACCAGGTCTCCTGACTCCCACCCCGGGGCTCTGCCAGAGCCTTCGGATAAGGGCATCCAGTGTAGCTGGGATGTTGACGGTGCTGGCGAGTCACACACTCTGTTGAGTAAAAGTAGGTGGGAAGAGAGTTTCCCCTCTTATGGACAAAACGGATTTTTAAGTAGTTAGAATTTGATATATAAATCAGTCAGCGCCTACATGGAGGGACGGAAAGTGCTTTCTTTGAGGCCTCCAGAGGCCATCGTTAGAACAGTGCTCCTGGATTCTTAGGGATGATAGATACGCCCACCCACAAGGTTGCAGTAGGTAGACGTCGGATAAACCGGCATCCACGGTCGCCCCTTTACCTAAGGGGAAGGCTATGGCAGGGATGGCGGGCCACTCCTTCCTGTGGCCACACTGCCCCGCTCCGTGCCAGGCGCATGGTGGGTGAGGTCCCAGAGAAGGTCCAGAGGCAGCAAGGATGGACGTGGTGGCAGAGGGAGGTTGGAGCATCTCAGAGGTGGAGAGGTGGTCGGCAAGTGGCCCCTAGCAGTCGTGACAGCTTTCCCACCGTATACAATACCTCTTGCTTTTCTCTCTCTCTCTCTTTTCTCTCTCCCTCTTCCCTGTCTCTCCTGCCCTCCCATTCCCTCCTCCTCTCTCCTACCTATGTCTTAGGCCTGCCAGTGGTCCCCGCGGGCTTTGTTTCACCCCACTGGTGGCACACAGGGCCGAAGAGGCTGCCGATCCCTGGTATAACACCGCCTGGCTGGGTCGGTTTGGGTACACTTCTTCAGGAGGCAGCAGGAACGGACTAGCCTGGCTCCTCAAGGCCCCTTCCGGCCCTAAGATTCAAAGACAAATGATGTGGAAAGAGCTAGATTAGCACTTGTACCCTTTGCACTTAAGGTCCTCTGTAAGAGGGAGTTAATTGTCTAGTAGGCTCCTGTGTAAGTACCGATCTTCACCGGCTTTGCACCCAGGATTCTGCAGGCTGTGCAATGCAGCTGGTGCCACCAGAGGGCGAAATTCCTCAGTAATGGATTCAAAATGCTGAGGGTCAGAAACTTGAGGTGGTGGGGGGCTTGTTCTGATCATATCCCATTTCCCAGTTCCTCACAATGTTAGAGCTGAAAGGGACTGGTTTGAGAAAGCATCTGCTGCAACCTCCTCACGTTGGCAGATAAGAAAACTGAGGTCCAGAGTGGCCTTTGTTGCCCAAGGTCACACAGCAGGTCAGCGGCAATGCCGGGCCTTGACGCCCCAATCTTTTGACTCTCAGTCCAGTGCTCCACCCACGGTGCCAGCGCGGCCGTCCAGGAAGGCAGGGAGTGGCTCTTCAGATGCCCGTGCCCTTGGCCAAGCAGAGCAGGCAGGAGCCTGGGCCTCAACTACCCAGGGATGCCGCAGGCCCCGGACAGAATTGCTTCCCGGGCTGGCTAGTCTCCCTCTTGAAAGTTTACATGTTTCAACCCCCAAATGGGTGCTTCCTAAAACAAAGAAGGGGAGACATCTATGAAAAACATATATACATAAATTCGATACAAAGCAGCCTTGCCCCCGGATGGAGGGCCAGCGCCTGACCTGTCAACCTTTCTTTTTCAAGCTGTACATGGTGCGGACCATGCTCGAGTCGCTCATCGCAGACAAGAGCGGCTCCAAGAAGACCCTGCGGAGCAGCCTCGACGGCCCCATCGTCCTGGCCATCGAGGACTTCCACAAACAGTCCTTCTTCTTCACGCACCTACTCAACATCAGCGGTGCGCCCCGGGGTCTGGGGAGGCGAGGGCATGCCCTGGGCCCAGAGCCACTAAGCTGCCAGGCCAGAAGTGGCAGAGACGTGATCACTGACCCCAAGTGGCACGTTTTGCCACCAAGGAAGAAACGCACACTTTCCGGCAGACTCTAGGAGCTGGAAAAGGCCAGGCCCAGTCCAGCTGTTCTGACTTAGCTGGAAATGTTTGTCTGGTAGACACCTGTGGCCAGTCTGTTGTGAAGTCCTTAATAGAGCGATACGCACAGACACACCTAGGACTAGGTCAGCATTTTGCATCTAAGCAGCAGCCTAGGTTAATGCTCATTGTTAGCAAAGGAGGCTTGTGGGCTGCACCCCAATCCTGTGTCCCCCAATCCTCCTCTCCTGTTAGTAGGATGCGTGTGCAGGTGCGACAGGGCCGAGTAGAGGGACAGCAGCATCCCAGGGTCATGGGAGTGGTACCATATCTGTTGGTACTGAAGAGAGATCTTAACCGATAGTCCCAAGTTCTTCATAGAGAGCAGCCTAGGAAGGGCCTTCAAGGCCTCTGAGCAGTGAGTTCAGAATTATCACGTACAAGGGGTCACGGAGCTGAAGTCCAGTTAAAAGCGGACACCTGGAGATCTGTCTTGACACTTTGTATAGCAAGTAGTTTCAGAATGGCTCTGTAGGGGGTGATGGAAATTGTGGGAGTACCAAAAACTCTAAAATATCACCACCCCCTCCCCCATGCACTGTCACTGCCCCTGAAGCTTTGCAAACCCTGTCTTCTAAATAGATGTTGGCCTGGCATTCAAGTTCAGGAGAGCAAGATCTACCAATCAAGTCATCCTTACAAAGACCTACTGTGTACTCAGCACAGTCATGAGAATAACAATAAAAATTCATAAAAACAATGAGCTCTCAGACGCTTTGGTGCCTCCTCTGTAACCCAAGTCCCTTTCTCTTGTGCTTTCCAGAAGCCCTGCAGCAGTGCTGTGACCTCTCCCAGCTCTGGTTCCGAGAATTCTTCTTGGAGTTGACCATGGGCCGGCGAATCCAGTTTCCTATTGAGATGTCCATGCCCTGGATCCTAACAGACCATATCCTGGAAACCAAAGAACCTTCCATGATGGAGTAAGACACAGGACTGGGCCAGCAAGGAGGTTCCAGGGGTGCAGGTGGAGGCTTGGTTGCCAGCGAGCTGTTTTTCCCAGAATTTTTCGGATAAGGCGTTGTGCCCGGTCAAAGTCACACTAGATTTGACTCACTCACCCTTGCAGATAGGTTCAGAAGTCCACCAGCCCATCTGTCAGTCTCCTAACAGTCATGCTGGGAAATTACCATCTCTGGGGATCAGGAAGCTAAATCACTTTTCCCCAGGCCCTGGATTGTTAGCATCATGGACTTTCAGGTTCTATGGGCAGATTGCTGGGAACAGAGTGCTGACAGGTTCTCTTTTCTCGTCTCTGACCTTCCTCATCTTCCGCCCAAGTGTCCTATCTGCCGAGCAGACACAAGTCTGCCTGCCGTAAGGAATCATTAGTAAGCTGCTGGCCGTTGTTTCCTCTTCAGGTATGTCCTTTACCCTCTGGACCTGTACAACGACAGCGCCTACTATGCTCTGACCAAGTTCAAAAAGCAGTTCCTGTACGACGAGATCGAGGCTGAGGCAAGTGGGGGCTTCTCCCTGTGCTCCTGGAGTCTTGTTCTGAGAAGCTGCACTTTTCCAGTCTTTAGCTGTGGGCACCGAGTGGGATGTCTTAGTCCATTCAAGTTGTAACAGAATATCACAGACTGGTGGCTTATAAACAACAGACGTTTATTTCTCACTGTTCTGGAGGCTGGACATCCGAGATCAGGGTGCCAGCATGGTTGGGTAAGGCCACTCTTCAGGGTCACAGACTTCTCACTGCGTCCTCACGAGGTGGAAGGGGCAAGGGAGCGCTTGGGGTCTTTTCTGTAAGGGCACTAATCCCAGTCATGAGGGCTTCACCCTCATGACCTAATCAGCCCAAAAGGCCCCACCTCCTAATACCATCACCCTTGGGGGTTAAGATCTCAACATATGAATTTGGGGGGGACCATAGCATAGGATCAAAGACTTGTTCCAGAGAGTGGTCTTTATATACATCGTGATCGTCCAAAATGACCTAGAGCAGGATGATGGCCTTTCTTTTTCAAATGTTTAAGGGATGGCAAATGTTAGGACTGCTTGGGTAAAATTAATTTTTCACTGGTTCTTTTATGCCTTGATTGCTTGACTAATAATGACAGCAGTAATACACCTATCAATTATTATATATTTACCACTTGCCAGGCACAGTGCTAAGCACTATATAAACATTTCAAATCATCTTTATAACCATTTAAAGATGTCTGTGTTACTGTCTATTTAACGGGTAATAAATCTGAGACTTCAGGTGGTCAAGTGCCATTACCCCAAGGTCACAGAGTCTCTGTCTAGTACTGACAGGACTGAAATAGTAATCCTCTCAACTGTTAAGGTATTTACTAGAGAGTCACTCAATGGCTTTATTTCTGTAATGGTCAGGATAAGCTAGGTTGTGATGCAGTAACAACCAAACCCACATTCTTAGTAGCTTGAAACCAAAGGTTTATTTGTCCATTATGGGTTGGCTGAGGGCTCTGTTCCATGTAGTCTTCAATCTGGGACCCATCTAAAAGATTTGCTAGTTGCCATGGCAGTGGGAAGAGTTAGAGTGAATCACACTCTAATGTTTAAAGCTTCTACCCAAAGGTCACACGTGTCATTGGTCAAAGCAAGTCACACAGCTATACCTTCTTTCAGAGAGGAGTTAGGAAGTACAGCCCTACTATGGGATAGCAAGGAACAGAAACATGAGATCAAAGGCACTAATGACTTAGTTTTGCCTTCTGGAAAATGAAATGATAGTCTCTGTTCTACTTAAGTATGTGGGGTTATATAAACATAGAATGAGGCCCATTAGGTAAAATTGTCATATAAATATAAGCCATTCTTATTTATAAAGGAAAGACATGAATGTTTTAGGGTATGCAGTATCACCAAATTCATTTGTAAGTTTATGTCTTCCAAAGGAAAGCTAATAGAGAGGCTGCCTTATTTCTAGATCCTCTCATTCCTGTGGGAGTTGAAATGCAATGCGAACCTCTCCTCTGTGTCTCCAGCCCCCTTTCTCTTCCCACCCCCAAACCCTGTTCCACACCACGAAGGACCTCATGTATATGTATGGGATACCCAAGCTTTGGCTACCATCTTGCCCCAAAACAGTGGCCCCTTGGCCAGCCCTCGGGGTGCACAGAAACCCAGGAAAAAGAGCACACATGGCCTGGAAAGGGCCTGGGCCATTTGGGCAAACATACTCAAAGCTGGTTTTAGAAGAGGATCGTGGGGTACGAGTGGGCACCCCCCCACCTGGACCCTGCAGGCTCTTTGCCTGGAGGAGGCCCAGTGCCCTTGAAGTTTTCTTTGAATTAAGAGCCTTATAGAGCTGAGAATTCAGTAAGAAAGAATCAAAGATTAACCACCTAAATATGATCTGTGTCCTTTGATGTTATTCTGCCACGCTGCTTCTCCCACAGCGCGTCTCTTTGAAATTGCACCCTGGGCCACTTCCTGCCCTTGCCATGTGGGGGGATTGGGTCCTCTGTGTCTGATGTGAACTTTCTTCCCACCCGAGCATCACCAATGTGATGAAACATCAGTGGCAAGACAGTCCCTTGTTCATTGCAAATCAAAGATTTTTAAGCAATATATGTTTTTCAATGTTTAAATTTCTAATGACCATCTACTTTTTTATTTGCAAAGCAAGGTTAAGTACAATGAAAGGAAAAGACAAGAAAGTCTATCGTGAGAGGTGGCCAGGGGAGGCGGACATGAGTAATTACAGGATATGAAGACCTGTCTGTTGAGTTCCCCCTGGGCAGGCCCCTTGGAACATCAAGGAGGGGACCTAGGGGAGGGAGGTCCCTCAACAGCTTTTTGAACTTTGCCTTCTCTGTGCCTCACCGAGGACAAGGGGACCAGATTTCCCAAGGTTAACTTGGCCATAGAATCTTTTTTCTTTTTCCTTCAAAGTCTCTCGCCCCACAGCACGCTTTAGGCAGTCCTGCCCAACTGCCCTCTTTCAGTTGCCTGGTTTCTGTGATGAAGCTGGACAGACCCCGCTGACGTTTCCTGCTTCCTCTTCGCCAGGTGAACCTGTGCTTTGATCAGTTCGTCTACAAGCTGGCGGACCAGATCTTTGCTTACTACAAAGCCATGGCCGGCAGGTAGGAGAGCCTGGGGTTTGCTGGTGCAAAACCTCCCTTCTTTAGCACAGAGGGGAACCTAAGTGATTCCATGGGCCTGAACTGGGTGCTAGAATATAGGAGAGGAAAACAGACCGATATGGTGCTGGACCTCCTGGGGAAGACAGACATTGGTAAAAACTAATGAGCCCAGCCGGAGCGGCTCAGTTGGTTGAGCGTTTTCCTGTGCACCAAAGGGTTGCCAGCTCGATTCCCAGTCAGAGCACATACCTGGGTTGTGGGTTTGATCCCCAGTTGGGGTGCCTATGGAAGGCAGTCGATTGATGTCTCTCTCTTTTTTCTCTCTCTCTTTTATGAATGGAAAGGTCATGGGAATATATGACCTTGACACCTGAACTAGTCTTTGGGGTGAGAAACTGGAAAAACTATCCTGAAAAAGGAACATTTGAGTTCCTTTCTGAAGGTGACAGGAGTTAAGCAGACCTAGGTGAAGGAGGGCACAGGAAAATATAGGGAAAAGGAAGTACCTGTGCAAAGTCCCTGTGGCAGAAGCATAGTAATCATAGGATGCCAGGTACTGCATGATGTCCCTTATATGTGGAATCTGGAAAACTTAAACACACAAACAGTACAAAAACAGAAATAAATTCATAGACACAGAGAACAAACTAACGGTTGCCAGAGGGAAGAGGTGGATGGATGGGTGAAAAGGGTCAAGTTTACTAAGAGGTACAGACTTCCAGTTATAAAATAAAAAAGCCACAGAGACGTAGCGTACAGCACAGGGAATATAGTCAATAATATCGTAACAGCTCCGTATGCTGATACAATTGTTAGACTTATCACGATGATCGTTTCTGAAGGGATATAAATGTCAGGTCACTCTGTTGTACACCTGAAACTAATACGTTGTATGTATTACTTGAAAAGTTAAAAAAATAACAACAGCATGCCTGCCTCTTAGGGCTAACGTGAATTAGTACATGTGAAGGTCTCCACAGGTCACAGGAGGGAGAGGATGGGCCAGAGCAGTGCTGTCCATTAGAAATATGATGCAGTTCTCCCTGGCCTGTGCAGCTCGGTTGGTTAGGCATCCTCCTGTGCACCGAAAGGTTGCCGGTCAGGGCATGTGCCCAGGTTTCAATCTCGATCCCTGGTAGGGAGCATGCAAGAGGCAGCCCATCGATGTTTCCCTCTCACATCAATGTTTCTCTCTCTCTCCCCCTTCTTCTCTCTCTCTAAAACACGTCAATAAAAATCTTTTAAGAAAAAGAAATGTAATGCAATTATACATGTGAGTCACAAATGTAATTTTAAAAATTTTAGTTGCCATATTTAAAAAAAGAAAAACAGGTGAAATTAATTTTAACAATATATTTTATGTACTATGTAATCCAATATATCTAAAACACTATAATTTCAACATGGAACAATGAAAAATTATTAACGAGATAGTTGTGTGTGTTTTTTCTAAGTCTTCAAAATCTAGTATGTATTTTTAATACTCATAGTGCATCTCCACTCGGACCCACCGCATTTCAGGTGCCCTGTAGGCTCATTAGTGGGTGGCTGGCCTCTTTACTGGAGATTGTGTCACTGTCCTGCTTATTGACTTCCTTTCAATAACTTCCAGTTACATCTAGAGAACATCTCACCTGTTTCCTGTGGCTTATGTAGCCCCACATGGTCTGGCCCTTGGACTAACTTTATAAATTCATTTTTGCACCACAATCTTCACCATGCCCTGCCTTTATTCACACTGGCCACCTTTCCTTTTCTCAAACATTGCAAGCTCACTGCGCCTGAGAGGTTCATCCCCCAGATCTGGCCATTTTTCACACTGAGGTCTCTGTCCAACAAAACCTGTCCAGAGAGGCTTTCTCTGACCTCCTAACACCAAATCGTCCTGTGTTATTATTTTCAGAGCACCTATTAATCTGCAGTCTGTGCCTCAGTATGAAAGGAAATAATGGTGTATCTAACTCATAAGATTGCTGTGAGATTAAAAGTGACAGGTGCGTGAGTGTGTGCACACCTGATAAATAATAAATACCATGCAGACGTATACTATTTAATATTATTTTATCCCTCTGCTTTTTTTTTTTTAGTGTCAGCCTCTCTTCACTAGAACATAAGCTTCAGGAGGGCAGGAACTTTGTATTCCTAGGACTTAAAATGTTTCCTATTGGGAGCATTCTGTCCCAAGAAAGGGTCCGGAATATGCCAGGCATGCACTCGTTTCTTTTTTTTTAGGTTAGCTTCTTTTTTTCCTGGTAAATGAATAAAAAAGTAAAGCAGCTCAACCTCTGTGCTACTGATCTTTAACTTAGAAATTCTGTTTCGCATATTGAGCTCTTGTGGTTGAAAAGAAATTTAAAGAAGTTTGCTCTGGAACAGAAAAGAAGTTATATTTAAAATATATACAAGAGTGCTTCATGAGTAGATCCTATGGTCTAAAACAGACGTGGCTGGCAGTTGCAGACTGTCCACTGTCATGTTGGCTGGTCTCTTATTTAACTTTCATCCCTTCCAGCGTCCTGTTGGACAAACGTTTTAGAGCCGAATGTAAGAACTACGGAGTCATCATTCCTTACCCACCGTCCAACCGCTACGAAACGCTGCTGAAGCAGAGGCACGTCCAGGTAATAGTGAAAGGAAGCCAGTGGCGCTGGGTCGGGCAGGGGAGAGGAGCTGGGACGTTGACATGGAGATCAGAAGTCAGTACTGTGTTGTCTGCCCTGCATACTGTCCTGTGTGGACTTCTAAGCGTAGGTGTAACACAGCCTCAGAGCGTATAAACCCTGGAAAGGCATGGAGCTTCCTCTGGTTCAAGCTCTAGGCTTCCCAGCTCGCCTGCAGCTCACGTCGGGAGCAGTGGCCACCGAAGCCTTTGTCTCCCCAGCATGAGCTGCAGCCCACTTCCTTTCACCGGGGCTGCTGCTCAGAAATGGGTAGATCTGTCCCGCCCAGGCTCAGATGCTGGCTCGAGTGAAGGCGAGCCCCGGGGCCTTGGGAAAGAAGCATGTCAGGCTAAATTAAACCCGGGGTAGAAATGATGGTTTGTTTTCGAGGAGTTAGTTTCAGTTAGCATTGGACCCCAGGCATAGAGGAAATGCTTTCAAGAGCTCAGAAACATATTCTTGCTAAAAAAAACATTAACGGAACCAGGCAGACAAAGTAAGAGCGGCCCCAGCAGACTGCTCCCTTCTCTTACGCCCTGCTGGCAACCCAGAGGCGTTGAAATGGCCTTTATGCCCTGGCCTCTGCGTGCTGACCGTGTGGTCCACGGTGTTTGTGGAAAAGACTCAGGTGAAGGAGAGCAGAGCCTCCACTAAGAGGATGCTCTAGAGGAAGAGGAAAAGGGTTGCCTTGGAATCCTGGACATTCCCGTTGCTATGAGAAATCCAAGGGAAATGGAGAATCGTAAGAGGAAAAAGAACATTTTCATCTCTGCTAACAGCAGGGGCTCGAGCCCTTCCATCGGCCTCTCAGAAAACTATGACTGTCAATCACAAATGCAGCCAGAATTAGCCACAGGGCATTCAATACCGAGGACTTTATGTGTGCGGAAGATGGCTTTAAAAGGGCCCTAGTCAGCTGGTAGAAAATTCACCCCAGAAGACTAGTAGAAAAAAAATTAAACAGTTAAGAGCAATCCTTGGGCACCTAGCGAAGTGCAGTGCACACAACAGGTAGTCAGTAAATGGTTATTGCTCTCTGCGTAGCATCTGCAATAATGCCCATACGTTCCCCAGCAGAAGTTACTACAAGCTGCGTTTTCCACTCTGTAACCAGCCCTTCGTGCTCTTTCACATTCATCCCCACAAAGGCACACCACAGGCCCTTGCTGAGGGCAGCTCGTCCCGGTGACTGTGAATTGGGGCGCAGCAGGTTCCGGAAGAACCTCAGGGCTCAGTTTAGGGTGTCAGCATGGCCCGGGATGCGAGCCTGTCCTCAGCCTCCTCCTACAGCCTGAATGAATTGTATTTTCCCTCAACATTTTATATCTCAAAACTACAGAAAACTTGGAAGAGTAATACACTGAGCACATATATACTCTATAGAGATGAGCTCATGGTTATTAATGTTTTACCACATTTACTTCACTTTCTCTCCCTCATGTGTATGTTTCTCTCTCACACACAAATACAGTAACTATATAAAATATATTTACATATAAATATAAGTAATATGTGGAAATGTTTATTTTTAAAGAATATACATTTTTTCTTAGCCATTTGAGAGTAAGTTGTATATATCATGACACTTCACCCCTGAACACCTCAGCACCTAGCTCCTAAGATCAAGGACATTCTCTCCTAATCAGAATAAAACTGTCATACTCAGGAAATCTAACAGTACTGTTTCTACAAAGTCCCCATTTGCCCCAGTGCATTGCCTTTAGGCGTCATGTGTCTGTGCAAACCTTAAGTGACTCTCCTCTCTCCGTCTTCTCTCCAGCTCCTGGGTAGATCGATTGACCTGAACAGACTCATAACCCAGCGCATCTCTGCCGCCATGTACAAGTCCTTGGACCAGGCCATCAGCCGCTTTGAGAGTGAGGACCTCACCTCCATTGTGGTAAGAGACAGGGCGCTGGGATTCTAGCTGGACGTTGTGTGAGCCCAGGACTGGGCCAGTTAAAGAGAAGCAGTGAGTCCTTTCCTATCTGAACGGAGCAGGAAAAATAGACTTCAGATGAGAATGATCTTACCCCCCTGATTGCCTGGAGAGGGAGTGGAGCGGGGCCTTGAAATCTCTGAGGAGGGCCAATGTGGGGCACAGCTGCTGGCCCTTTAGCATCTACAGATCTGAGCAAGTAGGCGAGTGGTCCTGTGAAGCCAGAGAAGGTTGCAGAACAGGGTCAGCCTCATGGGTGTGCCGTAGCACCGAGGGGCTCTGTGCTGGCTTTGCTGCTCTGGTGTCGCCGCCTTAAAATTCTTAATAATTTTTTGACAAAAGGTCCCCACATTTTCATTTTGCCAGGAGACCTGCAAATTATATAAAGGTCCTGATGCACAAGCATGGACCTTCTCCCTTCTATGAAACAGCATTTGAACATCTCTGTTAATTTTCTCCAAGCATTAGAATAAACTTGATCGATCAGTCAGTCTTTAAGTGAATCAGAGGAAGACTTTAATCTTTAATGCTTTCAAAAGCAGGTGAGTAGGAGGGAGGGAAATAGAAAGTCACCGTTAGATCACTACATGGATGCTAAAGTTAGTGGACAGAACCTTTTTTTTTAAAGTTTTTAAAAATTTTTTTTGTTTTTATTTTTTAAGAGAGAGGGGAAGGGAGAGGGAGAGAGCGAGAAACATGGATGTGAGAGAGGAACATCAATAGACTGCCTCCTGCACGCCCCCTACTGGGGATCGAGCCCGCAACCCGACATGTGCTCTGACCAGGAACCGAACCAGCGACCTTGTGGTGTACGGGACAGTGCCCAACCCACTGAGCCACACCAGCTAGGACAGTAAACACAACTTATGCAGAATATATCATGATTCCTCTTATTAGAAGATTTCTCAGAGTAGCCAAATTCATGGAGACAGAAAGGGGAATGGTAGTTTCAGGAAAGGAGCATTAGTGTTTAATGGGTATGGAGTTTCCATTGAGGAAAATTAAGAAGTTCTGGGGATGGATGGTCGTGATGGTTACAATGTGAAGGTATTTAATGCCACAGAACTGTACGTTAAAGAATGGTTAAAATGGTGAATTTTATGTTACGTATATTTTCCCACAATAAAAAAATTACTCCCTAAGTCCCACAATAATAAAATTACCCCCGGAAAAAAACTTTGGGAAGAAACGGGATACTTGCATAGTAATATCAAATGTTCTCCTTCCAGACATTTATTAACTCCAAGTAGATGAGTAGCAAGTTCACAGTGGGGAAACTCGGCAGACACCCTCTTCACCAGGCATCAAAAGTTAGTATCACTGGTAGTAGTGAGACATAGTCATGTATCCCCTGATATATATTTTTCTGTAGTGTTTTTACCAAAATGCATACTCTCAATCTAATCATGAACAAAAGCACATAAACCTAATTCAAATGACATTCCCACCAAAAAAGAGCCAAGTAGAAGAACTCGGCTGTTTTCACTTTTGTGTAAGTCTAAAATTATTTCAAAATAAGAGGGTGGTGTTGTTTTTTAAATAGACGAAGTAGTTTAAAAAAAGTGATTAACCAGCCGGTGTGGCTCAGTTGGTTGGGCATCAGCCCATGTACCCAGAGGTCACGGGTTCAATTCCTAGTCAGGGCACATACCCTGGTTGCAGGCTCGATCCCAGGGGGCTTGCAGGAAGCAGCCAATCATTGTTTCTCTCTCTCTCCCTCTCGCTTCCTCTCTCTCTAAAATCAATAAAAACATTTAAAAAAATAAAAAATTTTAAAAATCAAGGCACCTGTGCCATTGGAAAAAAAGTGATTAAGAAATAGGGCTCTAGAGTCAGAAAGACCTGAGGGCTCAGGCCAGACTCTGCCACTTACTAGCTAGGTGATCTTGGCAAGTTATTTATCTTCTCTAAACCTGTTTTCCTACCTGCTCATGGAGAGAATATTAGAATTCACCTCATAGTGTTGTAATAATGATGAAATGAGATACTATCTGGAAAGAGTTTTGCATAGTTAACTGCACTTAATAAATAATAGCCTCTGAAAAAAACAGATGAGAGAAACAGAAATTTGGAGCTTCCATGAAATGTTCTCCGGGTGAATTTTCAGCAACATTTCATAAGCGGACTTGACCCAGCTGCCCACTTAAGCCCTGGTCACTTGCTTTAAGTGGCTGTAATATAGCACACCTTCTTCTGGGAAGTCTATTTTAAGAAATAGATTTTCCTTTGTTTATGCCAAAATGTTAGCAGTGATTATCTCCAAACGGGATTTTTTGTTTTCACCTTTTTTTGTTTATCTGTGTCTTCAGTTTTCTGGTAATGAATGAGCATATCTTATGGAAAAACTGGTTTAGGGTATTTGTGGGTGTCCATGGCCTTTCCCCAGCCCCTGAAAGGCACTGAATGTTCTTTGAGCTGAGAACAAAATGAAAACAAACAGTGAAAGCCTGTGTTTATCAGGTGAGAGCGATGGCCCCCAGGAGAATAGCCACTTCCCATGAAGCCCTTGAAGAAGAGGCCCCAGGGATGCTTCCTCCTCTGGGGTCAGGAGGCCTCCACTCACCTCTACTGAGAAGTTTCTGCCTCTTTTGAAAAACAAACCGACGAATGTGCTGCCCCCAGCCCTTCCCTCCACCTTGGACACTCCAGTCTGAGATGGGGAGGAGCCTGATGCCGAGCTGGGAGGGCTGCAGAGATTCCTTGCCAGCCACCGTTCTCCAACCCAGCTGAGTTAGAGATGCTCCAAGAGATCTGATGCTAAAGCTGAGAGCTGGCAGCCTGTTGTGTTCAGGCCGCAGAGCATACTTGAAATTTTGAGCCAACATTTTTTAAAAACATATATCTTTATTGATTTCACAGAGAGAAAGGGAGAGGGAGAGGGAGATAGAAATATCAATGATGAGTCATTGATTGGCTGCCTCCTGCTCGCCCCCGGCTGGGGATCGAGCCCGCAACCCGGGCATGTGCCCTGACCCGGAATCGAACTGTGATCTCCTGGATCATAGGTCAGTGCTCAACCACTGAGCCACGACTGCTGGGTGTAAGCCAACATTTAACATTTGGAAGAATTTGAATAGACGTGCAGATGCCCAGGGAGCACCAGACCAGTCTTCCCAAACACTAACAGTTGCCTAGCCATTCCTGTCAGCTGGGCTGGGCTGCGTTTGGTTTGCCGCAAGCCGCCCTGGGACACTTCATTCATATATCTGACCTACCAGGTCTCATTGAACCAGAGATCGAGGTCCCCGATCTTCTCACCTCCCCGAGGCCACAGAGCTTATAACAGTCACATGTGGCTGACACTGAAGCTTTCTGGTTGCCTTTGAAGAGCTCTTTCCACTATTTCACAGAAATTGCCCATTTTGGTTTTTATTTCCTTAGTAAACCAACATTACTGTGAAGTGCTGATATCCTTGCTGAAGGTACCTGAACCACTAATGTGGTCTTTTAAGTCCCCTGCACCCTGATGCATTGAGCCCTGCGTCCCACGGCAGGGGCCCTCCTGATGGGAAGGCTGGAAGGACATGGCTGATGCAAGACCACAGCTGGGATTACATCACAACAAGACACCCCTGTACTGCTGCAGGGCAGGCAGAGTAGACCTCCCGTTCCAGCAGCCGCCACATCAACAGAGCTGAGAACTCTCCTTCGGTCTCTTGTCAACACCGACAGGCATTTGTGAGACTTAAAAACACAGAACATTAGGACAGCAGTTGTTCCCTGGTTTNGTTAGAGATGCTCCAAGAGATCTGATGCTAAAGCTGAGAGCTGGCAGCCTGTTGTGTTCAGGCCGCAGAGCATACTTGAAATTTTGAGCCAACATTTTTTAAAAACATATATCTTTATTGATTTCACAGAGAGAAAGGGAGAGGGAGAGGGAGATAGAAATATCAATGATGAGTCATTGATTGGCTGCCTCCTGCTCGCCCCCGGCTGGGGATCGAGCCCGCAACCCGGGCATGTGCCCTGACCCGGAATCGAACTGTGATCTCCTGGATCATAGGTCAGTGCTCAACCACTGAGCCACGACTGCTGGGTGTAAGCCAACATTTAACATTTGGAAGAATTTGAATAGACGTGCAGATGCCCAGGGAGCACCAGACCAGTCTTCCCAAACACTAACAGTTGCCTAGCCATTCCTGTCAGCTGGGCTGGGCTGCGTTTGGTTTGCCGCAAGCCGCCCTGGGACACTTCATTCATATATCTGACCTACCAGGTCTCATTGAACCAGAGATCGAGGTCCCCGATCTTCTCACCTCCCCGAGGCCACAGAGCTTATAACAGTCACATGTGGCTGACACTGAAGCTTTCTGGTTGCCTTTGAAGAGCTCTTTCCACTATTTCACAGAAATTGCCCATTTTGGTTTTTATTTCCTTAGTAAACCAACATTACTGTGAAGTGCTGATATCCTTGCTGAAGGTACCTGAACCACTAATGTGGTCTTTTAAGTCCCCTGCACCCTGATGCATTGAGCCCTGCGTCCCACGGCAGGGGCCCTCCTGATGGGAAGGCTGGAAGGACATGGCTGATGCAAGACCACAGCTGGGATTACATCACAACAAGACACCCCTGTACTGCTGCAGGGCAGGCAGAGTAGACCTCCCGTTCCAGCAGCCGCCACATCAACAGAGCTGAGAACTCTCCTTCGGTCTCTTGTCAACACCGACAGGCATTTGTGAGACTTAAAAACACAGAACATTAGGACAGCAGTTGTTCCCTGGTTTCTTATCTGCAGCTATCATCCCCATAGCAGGACCACTTGTTGATCTTAGAAATAAACTCATTAGTGTTTACTCCTTTTATTATTTTATTACTTTTTTACCCATCCTAAGTGAATGGGAACAAAGATACAGTCCAGCTAGCTGGGCCCCAAGAGACCGAAGAGGAGAGCTGATCCTGTATTTCTGCCCTCATCTACTTCCCGGTGCACGATGACTGGACTCTCAGTCTTCCAGCTGCCATTCCAGAATTGGAAGCCAGATTTTGACCTTCTTTTGAGAAATGGCAGCATCTGCCACCACTAAGCCCTGCTCCGATGCGGCAACAATCAGATGGAACTGATAGCAGCTCCTCCTTCCTCCAGGCGGGGGCGCCCTGATCTGCCACAGACAACCCAGCCCTGGGGCTCTCCCCTGCCTCACTTGTCTCACTTACCTGACCTGTCTGGCCCCTTCCACCATTTAAATTTGTAAGCTGTGATTCAATTCTGTGTCCCCAATTTAGGGCCACAGAACCTGAGTTTCAGAGTGGCAAAGCTCCAAGACTGGAAGCGTGGCCTGGGGCTTCCACCCGACCACACTGTGGACCCAACCAGGGTTAGGGGGACCTTGTGGCTGATGGGAACGGAATTGAGTCCCTGGTGTGGGGCTGTCTCCTGTGACCGTAGACACCGGAGTTCCATGTCCCAGACGTTAAGCTGGCCCCCTGGCTGCCCCAGCTCCTGGCTGCACTCTGGTGAACTGCCCTTCTGATGTTCATTTTGCTTTTATGCTTTAAAATCATCATTACTTTTCAGAAGGCTTTCTTAGCAATTGTTTCCTTATTCCAGGCAACTAGCTATGTCACTGGGGCCAAACGCACATGATTTGGAATCAGAAGACCTGGATTCACAACCTAAGCCCTGTTATATATGTCCTGTGTGACCTTGGGCCTCAGTTTTTCCCACTGTGAAACAGGAACAGTTGTCCCATCTCAAAAGAGGGCTTAACCACAACAGTGTGGGAGTGTCCTAAAGCATCACCATAGGGCTGCCTTCTGTCTTAGCAGGAGACTGTGCTCTGGTTCCTTTTAATAGCAATGTATTTAGGGACTAAAGCGAGCCCAAAGGGTTCCACTGTCCTTTTACTTCTCTGCAAATGCAGTGCCCTGTGGTGTCTGGGTAATATCCCCTCTGCGCCTGTTCTCTGCCCAAAGGTGGGATTCCAACAGTCAGGGCCCACAGCTCACTCAGGCCCTTGGTCATTGTGGGCCAACAGCAGACTGCTTGCCCATAGCTGCAGCCTCTGCCACTGTGACCAACCCCTGTGTGACTGAGGGACCTACAGTAAAAGGAGGGGACATTCTGCTCCCAGCTATTTTCAAACTTTCTATAGGTGTTATACTTTGTTAAGAATATGGACTTTGGAGCCCAGCTTCCTGGGTTGGAGCCAAGGTACTTCACTTCCCAAAGCTTCTCATTTTCTGTATGTGCAGAGTAAGAACAGCAGTAGCATTGACTTTATGGGGTTTTTGTTTGTTTGTTTTTTGAGCATTAAATGAGTTAACACATATAAAGTGCTAAAAATACTGTTCGGCATGTACTAGGTTGAACCATAGGAAATTATTCACATTCAGTGGTGTTTGACCTAAAATATCAGTAGTTTCATGTGATCTGGCCTAATAGTAAGTACCTAGTAGGATTGCTTAATGTAGGGCAGAGATGTAGCCTCTGGTGACAGCCAGTCGCAGCTTCCTTTTACTTTACTTGTGACACCGAGGGACAAGCTTTTTCTCACAAATGGAATGTGGAAAGCAAGCAGGCATGCTTTGTACCCAGAGGGGGGCAGACAGGCACTTGCGCGTGGTTTCTGGTCCCCTTCTTGGAAGGGGCCTGCAGACTTCCTCAGCCACATCTGGCACTTCCTTCCACTCCTCGGAACAGGGGAACATTTTCACAGCCACTGCCGGGGTCCTGGTCCCCACGTCGGCAGTTGGGAGGTTGTGTGAGGGGCTGTCGCGTACGTGACAGGAATGGGTAAGGGCAAGCGCTACACACCTGTAAGGTATGTGAGTAAGTCCTCAGCAGCTGTGGTCTCTCTGGCCAGGAGCTGGAGTGGCTGCTGGAGATCAACCGGCTCACGCACCGGCTGCTGTGCAAGCACATGACCCTGGACAGCTTCGACGCCATGTTCCGGGAGGCCAACCACAACGTGTCCGCCCCCTACGGCCGCATCACCCTGCACGTCTTCTGGGAGCTGAACTTTGACTTCCTCCCCAACTACTGCTACAATGGATCCACCAACCGGTAAGGGAGTCCCTGTGCAGAGGGGGCTGGGGCAGGGTGGGACCCCGGGAAGCTGCCAGCAGCCTCCAAACTAGGCCCAGCACAGGGGTCAGCTCATCCCTGCAGCAGGCATCTCACTGAGCCCCTCCTGGGTGCAGGCTCTGGGTGCCAGAGGCTAACAGACCTTCCTGACTCTCGGAGCCTTCAGGCTACATCAAACAATCGCACAATTGATCAAACAATTTATCACACAATAAATATACAATAAGCAGTAAATGTGGAGATGGGAGAAAGCCCCCAGGGCCATGAAAGGGAACGGCACCACCTGATGCAATCTGGGAAGTGAAGCAGCCCTCAAGAGTGGCTTCTTCCTCTGAGCAAGCATGCTTGAGTTGCAATGGAGGGGGCTGAGTAGGCGTAAATAAAGCGAAAAGGCAGGAGAAGAGTATTCCAGGCAAAGTTTCTAAAGAGCCAGGAAGCTGGGAAGGGTGAAGCAGGTGGGATGGGGGATGTTGCCATGGAAGATACGGCTGGACGCAGGAGGATGCAGGACCAGACTGTGTACTGCTTCACAAGCTATGTTAGAATCAAGTATTTATGAATCGTGGGAAGAGTTTAAGGAAGGGGAGCAACATGATCAGATGGTACTTTTGTGAGGTCATCACATATGGGAACACATGTGTGCAAACAGTCATACATGTGCAGAGCACACACATGCATGACCAAGTGGAACATGTCTCCTGCAGGTGCACACAGCCCTGGGCCAGGCACCCAGATGGAAACAAGACCCAATCCCTTATCCCCACAGAGGTTCAAAACCTGGTGGGAGAGGTGAGGGGCATTCACATACAAAACAAGTACTTAAGGATGAGCAAAGCCGTGCTTACAGGTCCTTAGTGTCCTCAGGACTGGCATTAAATAAGCATGTGTTGAATGAATGGGAGGGCTGGGAGGAATCGCAGATGTTCCTGAACCCACCACTTAGCAAGAAGCACTTCCTGTTCTCTTAAGACTTGGGACCTTTAAACTTCTTGAGCAGAAGTCTACAAACCCTGGTCCACAAGCCACATCTAATTCCCAACTATTTTTGTACAGCCCATGAGCTAAGAATGGTACTGACGTTTTTAAATCTTTGGAGGAAGAAATCCAAAGGAGAATTATAATGTGGTGACAAGTGGAAATTATTTGAAATTCATAGGAACCGAGCCATAGTCATTCATTTACTATTGTTTACGGATGCTTTCATGCGACCGGCAGAGCTGAGGACTTGCGACGGGGACCATCTGGCTGGCAAAGCTGACAGTGTTTGCCATCTGGGCCTTTACAGAAAGAGTTTGCAGAACCATGCTCTGGAGAAACCAACCTGGGGGTGGAGAGGTGGAGCCTTGGAGAAGGCCATTTTCAGGCCCAGCCCACTGTCCTGAGCACCCCCAGCCCCAAATCAAGCCTGTGAATCTGGACGGGGAGGAGGCCGTAGGTAAATGGGTATATGTCAGAGGACTTAGTACCTTTATAAGCAACCACCCAAGAAATGGTGTGGTTGCACCTAATCAAGAACAGCTCCCACTAGATCATGTTCCCTGAAGAATATCAGGACCCGTTAACTCCTGTCCCGTCTCTTTGCTTCCCCTAGTTTTGTGCGGACTGCCATTCCTTTCACCCAAGAGCCCCAACGAGATAAGCCCGCCAACGTCCAGCCTTATTACCTCTACGGGTCCAAGGTGAGTCGTCCTGCCCGTCCTACTTCTAAGAGGGCTAGTGAGCAAAAGCAAATAGAAAAGGGTCCCCTGAAGCAGAAAAGCAAGGAGTGGCGGTAAGGAGGCAGCCGTGAGAGCCAGGTGGAAACGACTGTGAGTTTATTCATCTTTATTTGTTCACAACTAGCAAGGATGGGGGTGAACTCAGACCAGGGGCTGGATCCTGTGCAGGAACTTCTCGGGGAGGCGAGCGGGGTAAGGCATGCGCGGGGGTGTCTTGTCTTGGCGTTTCCTGTCGCCTCCTATTTCTTGGTTGACTCGTTGTGGTATCATCCTGTGATTCTGGGATTTGTGCTTTATAGATATAAGGGATTTGCAGACAGGAAGCAGCTGGAAAGGTGAAGCTTAGAGGGAAATCCAGTTGACCGGAGCTAGAACTGAGAAGCCCATCTTGGGTCTTGGCTGCTTTGTTCACGCTTATGCATCCTGATGCTAAGAAACTAAACATTCCCATGGGTGACTATTCAGTCCACTGCCATTCACTGAACAGACATATATTAAGCACCCACATTAGGCCAGACACTGGGCTCGATTTTACATGCTGGGGCTATATTACAGATTAAAACACACATCGCCTCTGCCCTCAAGTTCTATTTCCACACCCATGGTGGTGGCAGGGGAACAGCGTTCAGAGTCTTCCTGTCACCACAACTTACCCTGGGGGGTTTTATGGAAGGACCAAAAAACGCCACTGAAACGGTGAAATGCGTCAACAACATCTAAAAAGCCAACATTTCTCTATGTGATGGAATAAAATGGCCATGTTTGACCCCATTTTCAGATAAAGTTAGAAGAAGAACTGACTGGATAAATATGGCATTGTTAGGAAAGGTAGTCCACTTGGTCTGGGAGCCCTAGATTAGGAAATGTGATGAACCAAGAGGAGTTCCCACTGGTCAGGCCTAAAGGTGGGGCTCAGAAGGTCTTAGGATGGTGCTGGGAGAGTGCAGGTGTCTTCTCCAGAGCAGCCAGTCTGATTCTCAAGTCAGGGGATGTCTACACACAGCATTGTAGATGGTTCACAGGCACGACATTAAATACTAGTGACTCACAAAGTAAAAACCCCTCCCTGTCACTTCTCTTTGAAACCTTGTTGATTATATCAAGGAGAAAGACTTAATGTTGGTGCTAATAGGTCTTTAATACTTCTCCAGTGCTTGCTAATCTCCCCTTTCATCAAAGATTAGAAAGCAGGCCTTAACCTTGGAGTCTTTAGTAGGCAATACATAGTGTCTATCAAATTTATTATTTTGTTTTCGTTCTGTTTATCCTTCTGTGCTGGTATTCATGTTTGGATTAATGTACAGCTACCTTTTAAAATAAGTTTAAGGTTAAAAAAATGAATCAATTTAAAAATATTTGCTAGTAATAGCAAAGACAGTGCATGGCTCAAAAAACAAAAATGATGTAGGAAGTGGTATGCAATTACCTGAAAGTTGGAAAGTGCTGTAGGGCCAGCCTTCTCCCACTTTCCAAAACAACCCCCCAATAGCAGAGGAGACTGGACTCCAGCCTGAAAGCTGACTGACAGCATAACTCAGAGAGCCCATCTTCAACCCCACGATTTACCTGAAGCACTATGTTTTATTTAAGTCATGCAAATTTCACTTTCTACATCATAATTTATTCATGTTTGTTTTAATGTTAAAATAATTTTCTAAATTTCTAACTGCGCCCACCCAAAGGACCCTCCTAAGAGACACCATGTTTCTTCTCCCTTAGCACAGCATAGGGGGGTGTCCCCAGCTTGAGGAGCTTAGTCACAGGGCAGTCACTGAACCCAGTGATCCTCAGGGACTCTAGCATTGTGGGGAGATGTGGGTAATCTACAGACACATTTTACAAAGGAACTACTGTGTGGAGGGCTTTATGCTACAGGACGAGGGCTGCCTCCTCCCCACCTCTCACTCCTCAAAATGAGGCAGAATGGCAGGTTGGCCGCCACCCTCCCTCTGGGGGGCACCCTCGTCGGGGGCATCCTGGTCGGCTTCGGCTTCGGCTCCCGCTCTGGAATCCCTGCGTGGCATTTCCACCAGGGGCAGCCCCTGCAGGTCTTCCTCCCTCTGACCAAGAGCCGGGCCCTCCTCTGGCCACCTCACCAGCCCGTTGGCCTCCTCCATGTGGCCGGCCCTGTAAGACCAGCGAGGCTCATGGCAACGGATGCACCAGAACTGGAGGCAGATGAAAGCTAAGACGGCTGTGAAGCAGGCCAGCAGAATGGCCAGCAGGATCCACAGGGAGATGTGCGGGTCCACCAGGGAGCTCCCGGCAGCCAGCGGGCTCTTATCCAGGGTGTGGAACATGGTGCAGTAGTGCCTGTGGGGGAAGGTGATCTTCTTGCAGCTGACGCACAGGAAGTAGAAAGTGGAAGGGGCGAGGTGGTCTAGCACCACCGAGCTGATGGTTCGAGGCACCTTCTCCTCATGGTGGAAGCTGTAGCGAAGATAGCCAGAGAAGATGCTGTTCCAGTTGGGCCTGTACATAATATGGTAATAGTCCTCCAGGCAGGGCTCCGAGGACGACCAGGAAACGATGGCTCCCGAGTAGGACACGTTCCCAACCTCGATGTTCATCCTGATTCTGCAACCAGAATCAAAGTGAAGCATGACGTCCCCTTATTAAAGTATTTATTTATGATCATCATAGCCACTACTTATGGGGCATTCGAGATGGAGACTACTACTGCCCCCATTTTACAGACAAGAAAGTGGAAGCCAAGATCTTGGTGATGTTACTCAGCAAGGCATAGCTAAACAATGGCAGTTCAGATGTCCCAGTCAGGGCTCTCTCATGCCAAAGCTGGTGGCCTTCAGACCTAGAAAAGATGGGCCCACATCCCCTGGCCCCATCCTGCCCAGGCTCAGGTCCTTTACGTACAACATTGCTCCCAACCCTTAAAAAAAGAAGACACAAAGCAATGAAAGGAGGAATCAGAACAACCTCAGAATCCCTGCGTTAGTCACCACAGGTTTGTGACCTCCAAGCTAGGCAAGGCTTCACCTAAATTTCCCCTCTGGACCTCTCAGGTCCGCTCCAAGTGCTGGTAGCTTAGCCATCTAGAACATTCTGCCGCCCAGTTCTGTTGCCCACGATGAGAGATTTGTTTAGTCACTCACTGGCAGCCGATTTCTCCCCAAAGCCTCCCCTCTTATTTTGTTTGTGTGTTTTTTTAAAGCCAAAGGTACCCAGGAAATTCGTTTCTTGGGTCAATACAATCAGCTGCTAATACCAGCATGAGTGCTACTATTTAATGCTACGGGTACCATGAATGTTAACACTGGTAATCACCACCAGCAGTTAGCAAGCCGTTGCCGTGTCACTGCTCATGACAGGCGTTCAGCCTACAATAACAAATTTCCTTTGTTCTTCATCACGCCCTCGGAGCTAGATCCCCATTTTACAGATGAGCAATCTGAGGTGACTCGGCTGCAAGAACCAGACTCAAAGCCACTTAACCGCTGGGTTTTCAAAGGCAGGGCTGCTGGGTTAGTGATAGAATGTTACTGCGAAATGAGATGCTGGTAGTAGGAGCCGTTGCTGTTTCTCCAGGCAAATCAAACGAGCCCTCTTCACACTGGCAGCCCCCTGCTTGGGGGAGGGAGCACCATCTTCAAGCCTTTTCATTTCTCTTTAATTCTGTGTGTTTCCCCTTCACCGAATTTCCCCCGATCTAAAATTCCGAGCCAGCCATATTCAGCCTGTGCATGTTGATGTGTAGGTCTCCCCCGGCTCTGTTCTCCGCTCCTCCTCTCACATGAAATACGGAAGGTTTTGTTTTAGATCGTAACGACATAGTAAAACACAGTCGGATTTTAACCGGAATTGGATATTAAGCCAGGCTGACTTCTATTCCGAGCTGCCTGCTCTGCTCCCGGCCGCCCCCCCACCTTCTGTTTTCCTGCCCGTATTTCCTAGAGGAGGTGAGCTGCGGAAAGACGCGCAGCCTTGAGTGGTTTTTCAAGCCTCCCTTTCCTTCTCTGAGGATGACAGTGAACTAAAATGCTCAGGAGCAGGAGTTGTTCCTTTCTACTGGGCTGGAAATTTCCTCCAGGAAAATGGGGAATGAAAGGGGTGAGACAGGTGTGCTCGGATCCCTCCAGGGAGGTCACTGCGAAGGAGACTGAATCTTCGCACCCCTGCATCGGTCTCCTTCTCACACACACCCATCCACACCCCCAGCACCCCACACATCCCTGTAAATGCACTTAATTCATTACTAAGGTTACAGAGGCTACGGCCTCGTAACACCCTCCCCTCAGGGGTGATCAGGAATCCCTTTCTTGTCCTGAATCCCCTCCTGTTTGCCTCCCCCTGCTGCTGGCTGTCTTTGCAGCCTGAGTTCCCCACAGCAGACATTTTTAAGAGCTTTCGGTCAAGATGCTAGCAACATCCTCAGCTGGTAGCACCCAGTCCGTCTCCCTTATTTATTTTTCTTCCTCTGCTTCTGTTTGGAAATCCGCCGTTTGTAGCTATTCACATTACCATTGCCTGGCCCGCCTCCAAGCAGAGTGTGAAAGGAAAAGCCACTTCCATTTCCGAGAAGAGCCGTTTATGTCCCTTACCTGATGCGTGTGCCGAGGATCTGGTTAGAAAGGATCTGGTTAGAGCATAGCCTTCAGAGGCAGAGTGGACCCAAGCTAAGGGAACGGTGCCTTCTCCCCTCCTCTGCTCTGGGCTCTCCTTGATGTCTCTCTCGCCACCGTCTGAGTAATCCCACTGCCGCCCCCAACGCTCACTCTATTCATTTCTTTAGATCAGCATCATTCACCATGGCAACCACAGGCATAAGTACACAGGATGCTTTCAGGGCCAGTCTGGACAGGCTTTTGCCAGTGAGAGGAGCTCTCGTTTATTGGGGGGGGCGGTAGGGGGGGAAGGCAGACAGTCTGCTCCAAACTGATCCTCAGAGCGGTACTAATTCTTCTAAGGCTCCTATATTTTCTAATTGGCTCATTGTCATTTTTGGACAATGGTTTCGAATGCAAAGATGCCCTTCTCCATTATCCCACAACTAAAACAGTAATTTCATATA